GTCATACTTCACCATTGAGAAACAAAAGAAGACTTCCATCTCCAAGTTTCACTCAAGTGTAGCTCGGTTCTTTTTAATGTGAAGCAATGTCAAGCCAAAATAACCAACAGGCATTAGCACTCCCAGACAAGGAGGTGTATTTATTACATTTTGAAGATCAGGGCATAAGTGATAAGTTAACCAACCATGATACAGAACCAAGAATCTAATACTCCAATCATGTTTGTTTTAGACGACATGGGCTACACTTGGTTCCAAATAACAGTTGAAGGAGCAAAAGCCTATGGCACCTAAGAGGACCTATTGCTCTAACAAGAATTTAAAAATTCCCTGTTACTGCCAGCTTTTTCAAAACAATAAAAAATCAAAAGAAAATGAATGGAAAAACAACTCCCTACCTTCCTTGAATCTGAAGTAAACATTAACACAATAGATAATAACGGAACATTGACTAAGGAAACTCTATTAAACTTCTTAGAAAGAGAAACTTCTAAGTCTGACCAAATAAAATTCAATTTTGATATCTAAACCCTGAAATAACGAAGCCCAGATATAACATGTAACTTTCTTTTTAAGTAGATTGGTCATTGATTTAACATAGATGAAGCCCCATAAATTACCCAGCCAAGTTCATAAAAGAATTACAGCAATAAAACACAACAAAGCATCATAACCAAAACATTAACTTACCGTGTATACATTTTTGAAGTCAATTCCCCTCACTACTCCAAATTCAGAATCTAATTTTGGCTTGGCATTCTTTCTAGACTTCCTTGAGTCAGCATGACCACCACCGTCAGGTTGCTCCTTATCTTTTGTCTGGCTATCATCAGTTGCAATAAGATAATCGAAAAGCCCAGCATTAAATTCCTGGAACAAACAGTAGACAAGTTATAAAACACTTTGTAATTTGTTAGTGCCCATGTAAATCATGTAAGCTGTCAAGATGGATAACTTTAAATCATTCACAAAATATCTATAATGGCTAATGGACAAAACAAAAACATCATTCTCAAAATACTTTTGAGCATATCATAAATTTTTTTTAAAATTTTTTTCGAGAAAAGACCTCTAGCCCAATTGAATTATTTATAAATTGAACAAACTAGCATACCTCAAGGATATGGAGACGTGAATTCTGTGGTAACTCAGCATTCAAAATAGCAGACCTGATACCAAACTGTCAAAAAATAGATACATCAAGAAATGGGAAAAATGAATTATATGACTATTCCTAACAGCAGCAACACTTTGCAAATATAGTAATTCTAAAGCGTGCATAAATCATCCCTCTCTGATACTATGCACTTAATCGATTGTGAACACATTACATGGAAGAAAATGCAGTGTGCAAACAGAAGCAAGTACTAGCCATTCAAATCCACACTTATATTCTTCTTTTCAAAACCACAAGGAAGATTAATACTTTAAAATCAAGACCATAATAATCAGGAGACCAAAATCAATGCAGTCTGATATGTATGCACTCTGAAAACAACTAAAAGAATAGAGTGAACATATATAAATAAATCGATGCACCATCAATACCTTTTCCAAAAAAAGTTTCAGTCTGAATCCCATGTCAATGGTATTAGTAAAAATCAGAGCTTTTTTCTGAATTAACTCCAGCTTCAAGAGGGCAAGGATGTAAAGTAACTTATCACGTTCACTACATGAAATCTAAAAAAGGGAAAATTAATAATTAGTACAAATAACCTTGATGTGACAGAAAAAATGGAGATATATAAAGTACTGATTATCATAAAACAAATCCATAGTTATCAATGATGTAAAAGATATACATACAGATAAAAGCCTAACACAAATCTACCTGTAGAAAATTTTGAAATATAACCTAAATAAAATTTACTGACTTGAATATGAACTAAAAGTTCAAGAAAATAAGTTCTACAACTAGAAAATAAGACATTGGAAAAGGATTGAGAAATATTCCATATTGAGTGGTGTGCCACCAGCTTCACGTTTTGCTTTGCAGTATGGTTGTAAGCAAAATCATGATTACTTGGTTTCTTTTCTCATTATTATCAACAACAAAGTGCAGCTGTGGGTCTGGATGGATTTAACTTGAGTTAAATGGGTAACATCAGAGCAAAAAAGGATGTTTAAAAACATGCTAATATTCCCATAAAAAAATCAATGTTATATTACATGTGTATTTGGCTAACACCAATAAATGATTTAAACAAAACAGGATATTTTAGGCAAATATAGCCGTAAATTTCCTAAAATACAGAAACTCTTACCCAAAATTGCTGAACATTTTTGGGGATAATATCATCTTTAACATCTCTAACTTCTGGCAGAGTCAAAATGAACGGATTGTGTAGAATCAACTTCTTTAGTTTTTCAACGTCAGAACTGCCAAAATTCAAGATTTTAATACTTGTAAATCACACTGAGTCAAGAAGAGAATAAAGAAATGTCAGTACAAACTATATATAGTGTGACAATTCAGCTCAAATCCTGAAAGTTTATGACGGGCATTGAAATGTCAAATTTACACACAATCAATGCAAGGAATTCTGAAACCAATTAGCATACTTTTAGCTGCTGAATATGCTTATAAGAGGCATCAGACAATGTTTAAGAATAAAATGTTTAAAATGAATCCCTGGAGCGAAATGGACATCTATCAGGAAAGGAACAATGGTATAAAAAATGAATTATCATTAATTCAGAGAGAATAGTGTTGGATCATCTTGTTCAATTTTTGTAATCAAACAAATTTTTACATAAAAAAAAAAAAAGAGGAAAAAGAAGCAAGATACATAACACACCTTGAAGTAGCGGACATAAGAAGGCATTGACAGCCTCTTGGGACAAGAGCTGTAAGAGCTTTTAGATCATCTTCATAGCCATATGACAGCAAAAGATCTGCCTGAAAGCAAATATGAATCAATGATCTCTTAACAAGAGAATACAAGTAATCATGTCCTGGAAAATGAGATGATAGGGAGAAAAAAATCAAAGAGTAAGAGTATCATCTAAATAAAACTCAATCAAACTAACTCGCCAGGTCTAAACTTTCAAGTTAACAAATACACTCAAAAAATAAAATCAACGGTTTTAGTGGCAACTACCACCACTCTACAGGAAGAGTTACCATATTTGCTTCACCCATATAACTTATATATAATAAACAATAAGTACAGAAGTCTCACCTCATCAAGAACGAGAATTTTAAGTGAATCACTAAAAGATTTGGATTGAAGAACGCCAGTTGACAAAAATTTCGGTATGCAACCAGGAGTAGAAACCACAACATCAGGCGGTCCAGCCAATGCAGCCCGCTGCGACCAATAACACAAATCAGTCAAGAATCAGCAAAAAGCTTGAACTCAGTATATCACGAAACCAACAACTAAATCAGAAATAAGAGAAAGTTCAACTAACCAAATCAGAGGCAGGCATGCTGCTAGTCAACTGCACAACTTTCAATTGAACTTGACCCTTACAAAGCTCAATAAGTGAAATAATCTCTGAATAAACCTATTACATACCAATTTAAATCATTAACAATCATAGAATTAAAACGAGAAGTAAGATATATAACCAAAGTACTCATAGCAAAGACATGCCTGCTGGCACAGTTCCCGGGTTGGGACGAGAATTAACGCGGCTGGGGCAAGCTTGCTCTTGGATAAAGACTCATTGAATAGCCTGTGAAGCAAAGGGAGAAGGTAAGCAAAAGTTTTCCCAGAACCCGTCTTCGCCCGCGCAACCACGTCCTTGCCTTCCTGGAAATAATTTATAAAACAACAATTAATTAATGTAAAACAAAACTAGCAAAATAGAGATTAAACAGGGTCGAAGAAACTCACTAGAATGAGAGGGATGGCAACTTCTTGAATTGGGGTCGGTTTTTCGATGGCCTTTTTCTTTAGGGCGTGAACTATACGGAGGTCTAAACCTAGCTCGTCAAAGCTCTTCTCCTCCTCTTCCCCCGCTTGTTCGACTTCTGTATCTTCTGATTGTTCTACTTCTTCATCTTCTTCTTTGATTTCCTTGGGTGGATTTTCTTTATTTTTAGCCATAGAAACTTAAAAATATTCTTCACAAAAATTTAAAAAAAAAAAAAAAATGGTTTTTGAAGTGTTGTTGATTGGAGTTGGAGCTGGGGCTCGTAATTAGGGTTTTAGAGTGGTATAGACTATAGACTATAGAGTGACTGAAGGAGAAAGACGGAGACAGATTATGGCAATTCGTGGGTCGGGTTGAGTCGAAATATGATCCAACTTTGATAGGCCCAACGTTTAACTCGATATCATTATGGGCTTGACTAGAGCCCAAACTTAAATAGAACATATATCTGAATGGTGTAGTAGTATAAAAATAATACAATCAATGTTGGTGATCTAATTAGTAGTTATTTAAGCATCCTCCTAATATTGAATTGATGTGAGGGATTAAAGACAAATTATGAAATTAAATTTTAATACAAAAATAAATAATAGAATCGTAGGATCAGATCGTGGCCCAATGAATAAGAAGATGCATGTGACTTCGAGTAAATATTAAATTAAAAATGTAATAGTACAACAAAAATGACGCAACCTTTGTCTGGGTATACATCATTGACTTATACTGCCCCTATGGCCCTACCTATTTAGTCTACCCCTACTTTTAAAAGGTCATCTAGGGTATCTTTGTTTTTTTTTTTTTTTAATTTTCAATTAATATTATTTTCAGATTTTCTGACCTTCAGATTTAACCGTTAACAAAAGTTTCTTTTCAAACATAACAAAACCTCTATGGCTGTTCAAATTTTTAACATGTTGAGTTAATAAATATTTATCTAATATTATTTTTAGCATAAAAAAATAATAGTGGCAATATTTTTATTATTTATGTAGTTATAAAAGGAATTTTGTTTGTTATTTAAATATATTTTAAGAGAATTATGTTATCAACCCATATAAGTAATTAGAAAAAGGCAAAATAATAATAATAATAACCATTCTGAAAAACCTTTATAGAGGCTGAGCCGAGGCAACAACATTTACATAATAACCATTAAGAAGATGGACCGGGGGGAGGGGGGACATATGGGGGTCCAGCCCATGATGACATGCATGCCATTCTTGGAGGAATCATTATTGAGAGGAATGAAAGCACATTTGACTTTCTCATTCCCCCATCTACGCTTTCGGTGTGAGTTGAAAATTTTGCAATCAATGCCAACCATTTGATCCTTTTCAACTCAAGATCAAATGAATGGTGGGCCTTTCATGGTTGATTTTGGCTTCCCTTTAGACTTCACCTTTAGGACAAATTCTTTTTCACTTGTATCCAACCTAAGTGGCAACTGCCTATTCCAGTATCTTTGTCTAATTTTAGTTCACCATCATCTTTTACACTTTACATTTCTAAATTTCTACAATAGGGTTTTTGTTTTTTCATGTCAACCTCAATATATATTACCTTATATATTTATTTGACCCACCAAATTTTCTTTCTAAATCTTTTAATAAGTACAATGGAGTTGATCCCTTGAATTATGCTTATTAATTAATTAGAATTATTTTTTTATTGATGGAAAACCCAACTACCAATTTTAGAGATTGGTAGATGACTTGTACAAAACAATTATCTCGCTGTTGCATTTCATGAAATTGGCAAACAGTTGAGTTATTGAGAATGAATTCCGAAATGAAGAAGAGGTCAAATAATAGGGGACTAGGGAGAGGCTAGGGGTGGGGGTGGGCACACCAACACATGCATTGCAGACGAGGCCAGTAATAAATCTTAAATATCACCAACTTCAATTAAGTTATTGCAGAAACAAACAAAGAAGCCTAGAACCTCTGGATAGAAACCTAGACTGTTCAATTAGGGTGAAAAAAACAAGTAAAGAAAAAAGCCTATTGCCTAGAACATATAACCCAACACACTAACGAACCCACAGAACTCAATAATGCATATCACTTCTTCATCAATGTATTGTTTACATAATAACTCCTTCTCTCTCTTTATTCAACCCATATAATTTTTTTTTCTTCCTATTTTGATCTTTCAGATGCATGAGATGATACTGTAAGTTGAATGGTAAAGAGTTATGAACTTATGTTGCGGAAACTTATAAAGCCAAACCCCAGAGGAATAGATGAGCGGCAAAGACTGACCAGAATGTTGGCTTGAGCAGAGCCAGTGGGAACTATAAACTTAAAAAAAGATTTATTAGAAATGGACAATTAGCAAAAGTATGTGGTGGTGTTGGTCTCCCACCAGCTCACATTAACAGAGCACCAGAACCCCAAGTAGGTAAAAGCGCATCTTTTTTAATTAATGCAGCAGTATCCATGATATCAAAGTCCCCACCAGTATTTAGAGAAACTGCGGATAAATTACTAGTGTGAGAGATAGAGATAGAGATAGAGACAGAGAGGGAGAGATTGATAGTGTAAAACTAGGAAATTCAATTACAATATGTACTAAAGAAGCATTACACTGAGATGGTTAATCTCTGAAGCCTCATATTTGAATTGATTTTTACATTGTTTTTGGTTGTTGCAGATTAATATTATAAAAAAAAAATCTCAAAAATCAGTAATAGACAAATTTCTGAAAAATCCCATCAGAAGACAATAAGATTAGCCCACACCTCATATAAAGAAAAAAAAAAAAAAAAAAAAAAAAAAAAAAAAAAAAAAAAAAACATACCTCAAATTTTGTAGCTTTGAGCTCAATAATCTTGAGTCACATTGAGATTCCTGACATACTTGAAATAAATTATCAAGATATAAGAAAGCTTTTAATAATCAGGCATAAGCTGACTAATCTTGCCTTCTTCATGAGCCATCTTTTGTTCAGTAATCTTCAACCAAATGCAGACTCCTGTGAAACTGAGCACCAAACTTGCAAATCCACTTCCTAAACCGATCCCAACGATGGCCAAAATCGACAAGCCTTTACTTTTTAATGGAGGTAAAGGGTATCCATAAAGATCCTTATTTCCTTCAAACGAACTGGCATTAAACCTAGGAGAGTTCCCACTTCTGTTCCCTAACGTAGGCGGTATTGGCCCAGATAATCTATTGTTGGACACGTCGAAAGATGACAAACGAAGAAGATTTCCAAGCTCCTGAGGAATTTGACCCGTAAGCAAGTTGTCATGAAGATCAATAACGTTCAAGTACGCACATGATGTGAGCTGGGGAGGGATCTCTCCTTCTAAACGATTGGCTGAAAGATTAAGTACAGCAAGATTGACCAAGGCCTGTAAATCTGCAGGGATGGAACCCGTGAGAGCATTAGAAGAGAGGTCAAGAGATTGAAGGTTCGTGCAATTGGAGAGATAAGGAGAGATTGAGCCTTGAAGAGAGAGGTTGGAGAAAGAGAGTTTATAGATGCGGCCATTGTTGCACGTGGCACCTGGGAGATAAGAATTGAAGCCGTTGCAAGGATTTGAGAAGGTTGATTTGGTCCAGTTCTGAAGGTTCTTATATGGGTCTTTTAAGGACTGGCTTAGATGGGTTAGACAGGCCTCGTCGCTTGGATCTGATGAGGCAAGAGGGAGAACGGCGGCACAAGTTAGTAGGCTCAAGAGTATCAGACTATAAACAGCCATTTACAACGGGCAGTGATTTAGAAAGAGAGATGGGTTTGTTTCTGTTCAGCTTTTTTTCGTAATATTTTCAGCTCTGGACCTTCTCTTTTTCTGAGAAAAGGGACTTGAACAGAGAAAATAGTGAAAGATTTGGATTTTACTTCGTATTTATCTCCTCCTCCTCGTCCTGTGCTATTATAAAGGTCCACGTTAGGCACAAAACAATAAACAAAGACCGATCTTTATGGAAAACTTTCTTCTCTTTTTCACTATTGTAAAGATGAAAGCTTACAAAAAGGAAAAAAAAAATTCAAGATTGGTCTTCTCTTTTCTTCACACACGAAACTTGAACATTATATTTCTTGTAATCTGATAAATAAATAGCACAAGAATCAGAATCAGACGACAAGAAAACTGCTACTGCTATCAATTTTTTATTATGAATTTGGACCTTAGGGAGGACATGAAACGAGTTGGCTTTAGTTTGTGTTTGTGTTGGGTTTGGTGAAATTGAAAGAAATTGAGACAAGAGAGTTGTGAGTTATGACCTGAAGAAAGGAGGCGTAAGATAGTGACTACGCCGTAGGGGACTGATGGGTATTAAGGTAATTTTGGGGGATCAAAGTCTAGGGAACCAACAGGCATTCCTGTAGTCTTGTCGATGTGGGATAGATTGAAACGTTCTTTCTCAACTCAAGAGGCAGACGAGGAATATTGCGAAATCTAAAGACATAGTAAAGTAGTTGCCATTATCAATGCGCTCACTTCTTCCACATTGCTTTACTGTGGCCATCGCCGTCCCATCATTTGTAATTATACTTAGTTAAATGTGAAGTTTCAGCCATTCAATACTCATCACATGATGTCTGCCTACGTTTTTCTATTCGGTTCATTACTAACAGAATAAAACCAGGACGAACAATCTGGTTTCCCCATTAAACAAAAAACTTTACGGTACTAACTAAATCATTAATATCACGTTATGCCTACAACCCCTATCATCTTTCTGATTACCACAAGTTTAGAATTAGCCGTCCAATGATTTTACTGTCCAAAGATGGCCACTTTTAAACTCTCTTTACCTATACAAAAGTAACCCCAAAACATGTATTTGAAAACAAATAAAACGGGTAAGTATAGATCTAAAAACGACGCTATGAACTTTTTGGAAAAGAGACTTTTTTATTTCTTGCCTCAGGTCTCAATAATGTTGACCCATTAACATTACGGGTCGATAACATAATGAATGATTCATGTATTTTACAAGTTAGTGACTTGATAAACGTGGTTTCAAATTGGGTACAATACAATAATACCCAAGTGGGTCCGGAATAAAAAAATATAGTGCTGTAGGAATAGGACTGGACAGAAAGGTGCACTATTTAGTCAATTTAAACCCAAATTTCGGTTGTCCAGCATAGTGCTTGGAAATTTTCGAGATGAGAAGCTCACACGCTACCCGTACGCAAAGGACTTACAATATTTTTTTATTTTTTCTGGCTGCGTGTCACTACACAGCTGACCGCTGAGTTTTCACAGAAAAGAAGTCATCTTTAACGTTTTTTATAGAAGATTTGGTTGTATTGCCTCGCCACACATGTCATGTCAAATTGGTTAGATATTCATGAATATATTTGTGTGTTTTGCTCAGCAGCCTAATCCGGATGGTTATTACTTTTATACCAACATTTTTATTTTTTATTGCTTAAACTAAACCCAATGGTGAAACCCCGGCATGCTTGAAAAGGTTTATGTTGATTTGATATTTTGATCATAGATTATAAAAATAATTTTTTTTCTAATTTAATATGATAATATCATACTCATGAAACACAAAATTTGTAATGCATTTTATATATGGGTTAAATGTTATATTAATTCTATCAAAACACACACACACACACACATATAATAATATAATTATATCTATATATATATTATATATATATATATATATTCACAATTTGTTAATTATACACGTTACAAACACTCATGAAATATTACAATAGTAATTTAATTTTAATTTTAACCTCTCGTCATAGTAATTATTGTTTAATTTTCATAGCTTATGTTTTCTAAGGATCTGCTTGAGAGTTTTATAGTAACAGTTATGAGAGTAAACCATCGTAACGATTTTGAGGGGTTTTTAGTAGCAGTTTTTAAAACAGCCAACTTGTGCTTGGGAGTTTATTTTCCAACGGTTGTGACAGTTTTTTAAAATGATAAATTTACATATATGCCCATAAAAATACCTGAACTTCAACTAATATTTGGGAGTTTTTTTTTTTTTCAATTACTAATACTTTGTATCAAAGTTCCTTCCAAATTTAATTTATTTATAAGTTCTTTCGTTGTATATTATTTAATTCATCACAAAAACTTTCGAAATCTGTCATTTTAAGAGAATAAATATGATTCCACAATTTTGGATTTCGCAAATTATCAATATAACACCCGCAACAACATTTATAAAAAACAATTTTTCATTCTTTTCTTCAATCAGTGAAGCAAAAGCCATAAAAAACAATCTTTATTTAATAAACTGACAATGATTCAATCAATCACCTAAACGCAAATAGAAAAAATCAAATAGAAGAAAAACCACCTAATTTTGTAAAACAACTGGTAAAGAAATGCAATTAAATTGTATACAGCCTGTAGAAGAGTTTATCAGATTAAAAGAATAAAAAGTTGAAGGGGAAATTGAAGAAGAAAGAAAGAAAAACCTTCATATCTCTAATAAAGGATTGGAAAGCCTTAGATAAAATATTCAAAAGCATTGTAACAGTCATCTAAAAGTTGAAGATTGAATGGGGTTTGAAGAAATTTTTAAACCAGTAAAGGTATTATTGTATATGAATAATAGTGGAAATGTGTTTTTTTGAGATAAAATTTTTAAACCAGGTAAAACACCTCGATTTGGGGTGTTTTATAAACCTCTTAGAAATTCACTATACTGGTTTTGGGGGGTTTTTAAACCAGTCAAAACCAGTCCATAAAAAATCTGACAAGTAATGATTTTTAAATATCTCAAAATCAGTCTACCAGTGAAAAAAAAACTTTTAAACAGACCCTACAAGTTTTATGGAGTCTTACAATTATCTGCAATTTCTCATGCGATGGTTTTTGGGTTAAAATTACGTTAATGGGAACCTATAGTCTCTCCTATTATATATACAATTATCTTTCCATCAAAGATTCAAAGACAACTGCCACTGAGATAGTATAGCTACTGTAAGCAATTATTATAAAAGTGCGGTGTGTTTTAATTAAATTAAAATTCCTAAGATATTTATTTTTAACCTTTTTTTTTGTGTGTGTGTTTTTTCAAGGCAATGGGTTGTAAAACTCAATAAAAATAGATCATTATATGTGACCATTTGTTAAACACACACTCATATATATATAAAATAATTTCATATCAATTAAGATATAAAATTTGAAAGATTTGTCTTAACTTGTGTCCTTAAAACACGTGTTAAAACTGTAAATAAACAAAATAATTATTGTATCAATGTAATAAAAGTTGCACTTTTTTATCGTTTTGTCTAATAAGGTGCATTGAAATAATAATTTTTTTTTTTTTTGTAAATTTGTAAAACAAAAATTAAGACAACTCAATTTGGAATATATCTTACTTTAAAAAATATATATAGTTCGTTTTCACTTATTTTATAGTGTTTATTTAAAATTAATAGCAATCGTTTTGGATTATAATAATCACTTTTGACTTTTCTAATAAATACTTTATTTTAAATGTTATTTTACCGGACCACGGGTAGTGAGAAAGTTATTTTCGTAGAAAAAAACCTGAAATGTACTTTTTAGGCATGTATAATTGATGAGACCTTAGGCGTGCTTGAAAAGGGATTATGTTGATATATATTAAGATTACTGACATGTCAAATTTTGTTGCCTTAGAAAAGGAAAATAATTTTTTAAATTAAAGTTGGAGTTTGTCCTAATTATTGTTGATTACTTTTTAAAGTTTTATATTATGGTCAAAGCCAGCTACCCTTTGGTGATTGGTGAACACACAACTCACTTGCGAGAAAATATTGCAAAAGCCAATAGTTGTCAACGTTTTGGTCTGCGCTAGAAGCATTGGGAAGAAACATTAACTATTAACTAGTGGCGTTGCGTCACGCAGCGATTCTCAGAACTTGGCCTCAAAATACAAATATAACAATTACTGGGGAGTGTTGATATTTGATTTTGACACTAATTATTTATACGTGTAAAGTGCTAAGGTGATTTAAGAATTACACGTGAAATGAAATAAAATAAAATAAAATAGAGATAATTTTTAAAGTAGTTCGGATGCTCAAAGCGAATCCTACGTCCACTATTTTTTTATAAATGAAACATTACAATCAGGTCGTAAGTAACGATTTAGAGAAAACAGAAATACAGAGAGGGAGAGAAAGTGTTTATCTTATCAGAATTCGAATCCTGAAAAATGAGAAGGGAGCTCTCTATTTATAGTAAGAGGTTTTTGAGTAATGATTACGGGTCTGCCAGTAGGCAGGTGCCGTACAGTTCCTACCCTTCTTCCTATTGGCCGATTGCAAGGAATATATCCTTAAATCGCACAGGGCTTGGGCAAGTGGGTGACTCCCAGCCACTCACCGCTAGGCCTTTACCTGCCAAGTTGATGACAACCTTACTCTTTTGGTCCTTGGACGACGTGGCAGCGCCTGGAAGGCACAATGCTTCCTAAATTCTGATTGGTCCTCACTGACGCATGCTTGCGTTAGCCTTGATTTTTTAGGCATAACAGAAGCCCTCAAGTTCTTAAGGTTTAAGGCTTGAACTTTGAGAACTTCATGATTATGCCATGATTTGACTCATCCTGAGGATCGCTTGCTCGAGCTGCAAGTGGAGAACGGCTGAAATAACATGAAGTTCACGATTTTACTTGACCAGCGAACTGAGTGGAGGTCGTGACGTGGGGTTGGCGAACTTCACAAGCGACCTGAGATGATCGTCCCCTAAAGGTTCAGCGACCTGGGGCCAAATCATGCTCAGGTTATACCAACGTGCTTCAAACTTTGCCCATCACTCTTGACCTGAAAACACTTAGAATACTTTCTCCGAAAATCGGAGGTCACTTCGCTTCGAGCTCAATACACAGAGAAGAGTGTTTCATTCGAACAAACCTCTTCAGATGTTATATGTTGCGCTTAACAGCTGACCTGGTCAATAAAGTAAGATTTATCTGACAGACGTGTCTTTACGCAATAAACATCAGCCATGAGCATTAAATGCAAGCCATGTTGAAACGACATTCTCTTTTAAAGCATTAAATGCGGATGAGGGCACATTCAGTGCGATGAAGATAACCACACCGACGTCTGGTGTCTTCAACGGAGGGAACATCGATTGATCTTCACGAAGCGTGAATGTTACTCTTTACGAGGATTGGCAACACATGGTCGCATCCAACGTCTAGGAACACGTCCCGCCCAAATGTCTCTTGCAAAGGAAACCAAACGTCGCCTCCTTCTCTATAAAA